ATATAATATATATATATATATATATATATATATATATATATATATGGCATCTATCTGGCATATATATGGCACATATATATATAATAAGGCATCCTTCCGTCTACGTGAGACGATGGAGTAGCTATATAGTTCTACACGTTGACGAGTGGCTCACTAGGCCAATCCTTGAATGACAATCACGGCCGCATCTCTCGCAGGAGAATGTTGAATCCCGGTAAATTCTTGATTTTCGAATTGTTCTTTTAGATTCGAGGAAAGACGGCTCATTACATGGGAAGAGACGGCTCATTACCTAAAAAGTGACGGCTCATTACCTGGGAAGGGACGGTGCATTACCTAGGAAGTGACGGCTCATTACCTGGTAAGGGTTCGGCTCATTACCTGGGAAGGGAAGGCTCATTACCGGGGAAGGGACGGCTCATTCCCTGGGTGGGGCGGCTCATTACCTGGCTAGGGTGGCTCATTACCTGGGAAGTGACGGCTCATTCCCTGGGAAGGGGTAGTTTATTACCAGAGAGGGGTAAGCAATGGGTGAACAGTTTTAAGCAATGTGTGTGTATTTCTTGGTAAGCCATCCATGATCAGGGCTGTCAGAGGAACTTTTTTTTTTTTAAATGAACCACCTCAGATCCACTTTTCATTTTTTTTAATGGACCAACACAGCCGTGTCCTTTCTAGATCCACTTAATCATTTTGTTAAATGTACCAACTCAGCCGTGTCCTTTCGAGATCCACTTAATAATTTTATTAAATGTACCAACTCAGCCGTGTCCTTTCGAGATCCACTTAATAATTTTATTAAATGTACCAACACAGCCGAGTCCTTTCTAGATCCACTTAATAATTTTATTAAATGTACCAACTCAGCCGTGTCCTTTCTAGATCCACTTAATAATTTTATTAAATGTACCAACTCAGCCGTGTCCTTTCTAGATCCACTTAATAATTTTATTAAATGTACCAACTCAGCCGTGTCCTTTCTAGATCCACTTAATAATTTTATTAAATGTACCAACTCAGCCGTGTCCTTTCGAGATCCACTTAATAATTTTATTAAATGTACCAACTCAGCCGTGTCCTTTCTAGATCCACTTAATAATTTTATTAAATGTACCAACTCAGCCGTGTCCTTTCGAGATCCACTTGATCATTTTATTAAATGTACCAACTCAGCCGTGTCCTTTCGAGATCCACTTCATCATTTTATTAAATGTACCAACTCAGCCGTGTCCTTTCGAGATCCACTTGATCATTTTATTAAATGTACCAACTCAGCCGTGTCCTTTCGAGATCCACTTGATAATTTTATTAAATGTACCAACTCAGCCGTGTCCTTTCGAGATCCACTTGATCATTTTATTAAATGTACCAACTCAGCCGTGTCCTTTCGAGATCCACTTGATCATTTTATTAAATGTACCAACTCAGCCGTGTCCTTTCGAGATCCACTTGATAATTTTATTAAATGTACCAACTCAGCCTTGTCCTTTCTAGATCCACTTCATCATTGTATTAAATGTACCAACTCAGCCGTGTCCTTTCGAGATCCACTTGATCATTTTATTAAATGTACCAACTCAGCCTTGTCCTTTCTAGATCCACTGAATCATTTTACTTTTTTGTTTTTGTTTTTTTTTAACCAACTCTAACTTGTAGTGTGTAGATCCAAAAGACTATCTGCCAAATGTGTATTGGGTTACCTACCAACCAGACATGCGCGGCTTTTATTCTCGGCGACCTGGGCGGCGCTCCAGCGTTTAAGGTTATGTCGGCCAGGTTTTTAAAAATCTGCGGCAGTGGTTCTCATAATGTATAACCTGTCGCCTCTACTTGATAGAGGTCACCAATAGCTCATGTGGCACAATTCAAATTTTTCGTCGAGCGGGACTTCATGAAGGCACTAGTACGCGTTCAGAGTTCTGAAGATCGGTGGGGATGAAACAAATATTTTTAAAAACAAAAAAATTACCTTTTAGTGATCTGATATTTAGCTTTAACCATTGAAGATTCGGCATCTGTTTTATTTTATTTAAAAGTAAGATGGTGTGAGTGGAATTATTTTTTTTTGTTCAGTGAAATGAAACATAATCTATCTGAAATTTATTTCTATAAGTTCGAAATATTTTTATTTTTATTATTTTTTAAATATTAATGCGTTCTTTTTGTTCTTGTCCATGCATAAATCATATTTGATAATTTTGAAGCAGAAAATGTAAAAAGTGATGCCGAGTGGTTTTTTGTTGTTTCTTTTTTTTTTTTTTTTTGAAAAATGTATTAATGTTATAAAAAACTTTCTTCTCAAATGACTGGCCTTTATTAATAAAGAGCCATATTTTTTGTCATACTAAACACCTACTGGTGTAAAATAAGGGGATTGCTCCCAGCAACAGATTATTAGTATTTGCTATTTTACAAGTAACTTCGCTATCCTCCACTTTCTGTATGTGTCCATACAAGTAATTTTTTTTTTAACATGGTACAACGAAAAGATGTAACAGTCATCTGGTTTATACCTAATTTCGCTCTCTACCTCTGGCAGTATGCTAGTAAATACCAGCAAGTTTTAAAATATGACACTGAACACATTTTGCAATCATATTTTAAAATATGTGTCTAAGTTTAAACCACCATTTCCAATCCTAGCAATATCAGTCAATCGAAACAGTGGATGTTTATAGCTATTGGTCCGATGTATAACGTAGATTAAGTTAGAAAGATTTTGATATACCAGGCTTTTTATTTTACGTAATCTACCCTTACCTTCTAATGTCCAATGCGTGGAGCAGTGCTGGCTTATTAGGATCCCCTAAATATTTTTTTTACCCTTCACATTGTCTACGACTACTTTAAAAGGGTTTATTACACAAAGAAGGAAAAACTCCAACCGGATACCTTCCTCTTTGCATTTTCTTTTTTTTTTTTGCGCTCGAAAATAAAATAATTTTTCGTCAAGTATGTAAATTCATTAAATATTTCTCTTGAGTGCAGAGCCCAACGCAGCAGAGAGAATCAATCGGGGCTCTGTCCGCATGGAGCCCCCCAAAAAAGCAGAATGTTTTGTTTTTTTTAATGTACAATTATTATGAAATTTTTTGGGGGCGCCAAATTTTAATTATTTTTTTTTTTGTCTCGAGGCCCAAATACATCCTCACGACCCTGGTTCAACCTATAATAAAAATGTTTTTTTTTTTTAATACGTGTTATAATAAAATCAGTTATTATGCATCATTTTTTTTTTTCTTATGAAATTTTTTTTTTTTTATTGTACTAATATTTTTATATTTTTTGGGGGCGCCAAATTTTATTTTTTTTTTTTTTTTTCTCGAGGCCCAAATACATCCCCACAACCCCGGTTCAACCTATAATAAAAATGTTTTTTTTTTTTAATACGTGTTATAATAAAATCAGTTATTATGCATCATTTTTTTTTTCTTATGAATGAGAACCACTGTTAGTTGAGATAGGAAATAGAATAGACGCTCTCGATTGACCGAAAAAAAAATAGTGTTTGTTTTGTGTCAAATGTGTAATAGGTGTGCTGAGACTGCCGACGCATATATTAGCAAGTCCCGGCTCTCAGACCCAGTAATGGAAACATGCAAATGAGATCAATAATCTGTTTAACATATTTAATTATAGGTGCAGATTTTATTTTGACACAAGCGGACGGGGTTTTTTTTTCTCTCAAGGAAATGCACTGAATGTTCAAGTAAGTTCAGGTAAGTTCAGATATGTTCAAGTAAGTTTAGGTAAGTTCAGGTAAGTAACATTTTTTTCTCTTTCAAACCGGTCTCTGTTTCACGATTATTTTTAAGGGCTCCAACGTTGGGATTATGTACTACATTGTACGGAAATAGAGAGTTGGGATTATGTACTACATTGTACGGAAATAGAGAGTTGGGATTATGTACTACATTGTACGGAAATAGAGAGTTGGGATTATGTACTACATTGTACGGAAATAGAGAGTTGGGATTATGTACTACATTGTACGGAAATAGAGAGTTGGGATTATGTACTACATTGTACGGAAATAGAGAGTTGGGATTATGTACTACATTGTACGGAAATAGAGAGTTGGGATTATGTACTACATTGTACGGAAATAGAGAGTTGGGATTATGTACTACATTGTACGGAAATAGAGAGTTGGGATTATGTACTACATTGTACGGAAATAGAGAGTTGGGATTATGTACTACATTGTACGGAAATAGAGAGTTGGGATTATGTACTACATTGTACGGAAATAGAGATAATTGTTTTAGCTTAGCAACAACTATTATTTTAGAGCATGATGGTGAAATATATTTTATTTGAGATACTTATGCAACTGCTTAGAACAGTTTTCTCTGATCTAACTGAATATTACTAAAGCCGAGCGCATGAATGATGAACATTTCTACATTTTGGACAGCCGGCTTTTTCCATGTCGTAGAAATCTCAGCTGTAAGACACAGTCCGATTAAGCTATTCGCTTTTCCGGAATAAAGTAAAATTACAGGCAGCCTTTGAGACATTAACCTTTTCTGATCGGTTGTAAGGTGAAATCCATGCAGTTGTCAAGCTATGCAAATAACTTTTTTTTTTTAAGACTGTGGGGTGGGTTTGATTAAATTTATACGACTCGTGTGTTGATTTTTTGTTTTCTAAAAAGGTGTCAAATAACTGAATAGTGAACGGAAACTGTATTTATTTAAAAATCAATGGGTCTTGTAGAGGGAGCCAAAATTGTTTAGATATCAATGGGTCCTGGAGTGGGAGCAAATATATTTAGATATCAATGGGTCTTGGAGTGGGAGCAAATATATTTAGATATCAATGGGTCTTGGAGTGGGAGCCATTTTTTTTAAATCAATGGGTCTTAGAGTTGGAACCAAATATTTTTAGATAACAATGGGTTATATAGTTGGAACCAATTTTTTTTTAGATATCAATGGGTCTTGGAGTGGGAGCTAAATATTTTAGATGTCAATGGGTCTAGGAGTGGCCGCCAAATATGTTTAGATATCAATGGGTCTTGGAGTTGGAGCCAAATATTTTTTATATCAATGGGTCTTGGGGTGGTAACTAAATATTTTTAGATCTCAACGGGTCTTGGGGTGGGAGCCAAATATGTTTAAATATCAATGGATCTTGGGGTGTGAGCAGAACATTGTTAGATTTATTTTTGGAGTAAAGGAGTGACCGAATACTCTTAATCAAAATTACATCTATTAGTAACACAAACGTCACTTTGTGTTGCAGCTCTATCATGAGATATCGCTTTGGTAAACGCTGCGCGAGGCACAGCTGTCTTATCTTCATAGCCGGAATCGGCATCGCCCTGGTCATCTTCGACTACCACACCCACAAACAGGGAGAGCAATCGTCCAAGGAGCCTGCCTCCGAGAAGGGTGGGGATACCAAAAACATTCCGGGAAACCGTACGAGTGGAGCCACAGGGAACATGGCTGATAACGCAAGGGATGTGAGAGCCCCTGTAAAAGTAAACAGCAGGACAGAATTAGATGATTCAGCCAGAGCACTATATGCTGGTCAACTGGTCACTTCTGTAAAAGAGGAGAACGCCGCTGTTAAACCTACACCCGCCGCGGCTGTTCCTGCAGTGACACAAAATTTTAACGCTTCAAAAATAAATTTTTCTTCAAAAGGAAACAGCTCCACAAATGTGACGGTTCCCACCGGTGTGGAAAACAAACAGAACAAAATCAACCTTACATCCAGCACGACTGGGACCCATGGGACATGTTACGATTCCCCCTTTTTCACGTGTGCACGCAAGAAGCACAACGCGTCCAGCGCCAACCGGACTTTTCACGTGGCGTACTTGCATCGGCCGAACTGGCAGCGGGCGTACGTTTACGACTTCACGAGGTGCAGGTTCTCAAACTGCGTCTACCAAGGGGACAAGATAACCCAGGACACCGACGTGGTGCTCGTGTACGGCGTGAGGCTCTACGACAGCTTCACGCCGCCGAAACGGTGGCCCCATCAGCTTTACGCCTTCGCCGTCTGGGAGCCGCCGGACCGAATTGGAGGAACATTTTTGACAAGTAAGACAAATCTGGATCATTAGGTCCTTGTTTTAAAAAAATATATATCTATTTATTGCTCATTCATTAAATAGAGTTTGACTTTCTTAAATCTAGAAAATAATTTTTTGGAGGTGGCAGGAGGGCCGGCCCTTTGGTTTGTTGCCGCCCCGGGCAAGCTTAACTTTGGTGCCCCTTTTAAGTATAATCCTAAACATTTTTTTGCAAAAGGGTTAGAGAATGAGTTTATTACCTAGGTTATCATTGTTTTTCTTTATTCGTATTTGTACAGTAATGAACAATTAGCCTACCGATGCTATTTTCTTTTCCAGCCTTTAGATCAGCAAATCTTTTGATTGCACTTTCTATATTAAAATTTATATTATTTGCCATTACATTATCTATAGACAGTATAATATATATATATATATATATACATATATATATATATAATATTTTAGGAACTATTCCTCTCACCTCTGAGGTACCATGAAGCGAGTTTATCTCACATATAAATCGAAATAAGTGTTTGTAGTTGTACATATCTGTCATTCAACGCTCATTAAAGCAATTTTCAGACACATTTATCCCCATATTTAACAGAAATGTGTACCTCACCCTTAGACGGATATTATTTAACATGCGATTTCAAAATTGACCGGAAGCAACCAGGGTTTACCTAAAACACCTTGACCATAAGAGATTAATACTTGTTATTATTTTATTTTTAAAAAAAATTCTTCTTGCATTCTATTATTCTAGAATCTGGCCCTTCCATCCTTCTAGTATTCTAACATTGTAACTTTCTAGCATTCTATCGATGTATCATTTTAGAATTCGAACATTCTAGCCTTCTAGCATTCTAGCATAATAACATTCTTGGATTCTAGCACGTTAGAATTCCATCATTCTTGCAATATATCATTCTATTATTCTAGCATTACACCATTTGATCATTTTAGCATTCTATCATTATAGCATCCACGCATTACAGCCTTCTAACATTATAGCTTTATAATATTCTGTCATTTCTATCATTCTATTATTTTATCATTCTAGCATTCTAGCATTTTATCATTCAAGCATTCAATCATTCTAGCATTCTAGCATGCTATACGTCTAGTATTCTTGCACATTAGCGATCTAGCTATATATCATTAATCAATTAAATTATAATAACATTCTAGCATTACATCCTTCTTTCATTCTTACATTCAAGCATTGTTTCATTATATCGTGCATTTTAGCATTATAGCATCTTAGCATTAAATCATTGCTATCATTCTAGCAATCTATCATTTTATCTTTCTAGTTTCTTACATTTTATCATTCTAACAATTTAGCAATTGAAATATCTAGTGTTATAGAATTCTAATATTCTAGCTTTCTATAACCTACTATATTGAACCTAATCGACTTTAAAAAATAATTTTCACCCATTTAAATCTGACTCACTTATATACATTTTGCAATCCTTTAAACGGGTAAATTCTGCAAAGGTTGTTTTTTTTCCACTTCTTTTTGACCCTATTTATTCGCAATTTTGTTTTTTTTTTGTTTTAAATGGCACGTTTCTTAAGAAAACACACTTATGCCCTACTCACTAACAGACAGCAGCTCCGTGTGGAACTACGCCTTCAATCTGACCTTCACCTACAGACTAGACTCGGACATACCAGCGGTCTACTTTAGACTCAAACCTAATCCAACGCCACAGGAAAAAAGACCAAACTATTGTGAGTAATGGAAAAAAGACCAAGCTATTGTAAGTAAGGAAAAAAAGACCAAAATATTGTAAGTAAGAAAAAAAAGACCAAACTATTGTAAGTAAGAAAAAAAAAAGACCAAGCTATTGTAAGTAAGAAAAAAAAGACCAAACTATTGTAAGTAGGGAAAAAAGACCAAGCTATTGTAGGTAAGAAAAAAAAGACCAAGCTATTGTAAGTAAGAAAAAAAAGACCAAACTTTTGTAAGTAAGGGAAAAAAGACCAAGCTATTGTAGGTAAGAAAAAAAAAGACCAAGCTATTGTAAGTAAGAAAAAAAAGACCAAACTATTGTAAGTAAGGGAAAAAAACAAGCTATTGTAAGTAAGGAAAAAAGACCAATCTATTGTAAGTAAGGAAAAAAATACCAATTTATTGTAAGTAAGGAAAAAAAAGACCAAGCTATTGTAAGTAAGGAAAAAAAAGATCAAACTATTGTAAGTAATGGAAAAAAAGACCAATCTATTGTAAGTATGAAAAAAAGACCAATCTATTGTTAGTAAGGGAAAAAAAGACCAAGCTATTGTAATTAAAGGAAAAAAAGATCAATCTATTGTAAGTAAGAAAAAAGACCAATCTATTGTAAGCAAGAAAAAAAAAGACCAAGCTATTTTAAGTAAGGGAAAAAAGACCAAACTATTGTAAGTAGAAAAAAAAGATGAAACTATTGTAGGTAAGTGAAAAAAGACCAAGCTATTGTAAGTAAGGGAAAAAAAGACCAAACTATTGTAAGTAAGGGAAAAAAGACCAATCTATTGTAAGTATGGAAAAAAGACCAATCTATTGTAAGTAAGGAAAAAATACCAAACTATTGTAAGTAAGGGAAAAAAAGACCAAACTATTGTAAGTAAGGGAAAAAAGACCAATCTATTGTAAGTATGGAAAAAAGACCAATCTATTGTAAGTAAGGAAAAAATACCAAACTATTGTAAGTAAGGGAAAAAAAGACCAATCTATTGTAAGTAAGGGAAAAAAAGACCAAACTATTGTAAGCAAGAAAAAAAACCAAGCTATTTTAAGTAACAAAAAAAAGACCAAGCTATTGTAAGTAAGAAAAAAAAACTATTGTAGGTAAGAAAAAAACATACCAAACTATTATAAATAAGAAAAAAATACAAAACTATTGTAAATAAGAAAAAAAAAGACCAAACTATTGTAAGTAAGGAAAAAAAGACCAAACTATTGTAAGTAAGGAAAAAAAAGACCAAACTATTGTAAGTAAGGAAAAAAAGACCAAACTATTGTAAGTAAGAAAAAAAGACCAAACTATTGTAAGTAAGGAAAAAAAGACCAAACTATTGTAAGTAAGGAATAAAAAGACCAAACTATTGTAAGTAAAGGAAAAAAAACACCAGTCTATTGTAAGTAAGGAAAAAAAGACCAAACTATTGTAGGTAAGAAAAAAAAGACCAAACTATTGCAGGTAAGAAAAAAACAGACCAAACTATTGTAAGTAACAAAAAAAAAAGACCAAACTATTTAAGTAAGAAAAAAAATGACCAAACTATTGTTAGTAAGAAAAAAAATACCAATCTATTGTAATTAAAAGTTACACCACTAATGTAAGTAAAAGAAAATAAATTCTTTTCAATGTTGCGGGTGGTGGGGATGACCAAACAATTGTAAGTAAGGGGAAGAAACCAAACAGTTGTCAGTTAGGGGAGGAAACCTTACTATTCTAAGTAAGGGGAGGGGACGAAATCTTAACAAGGAAAGAAAATAACTTAACTATTTGATTTGAGAAAAAAACGACAAAACTATTGTAAATAAAGGTGCAAGAAGAAATAATTAACGAAAGTGAAGGAGCAGAGATACAATGGGTTCATTGAAAAAAAAAAAAAACAGTGTTTGGAAAATCGCTGCATGCTGTAGAGAAGAAATCCTGTTCCTTGCCGTCATAAAAAATAAAACTTTGAGAAGGAAGAAGATAAAAATGTCTATTATTTCATATGATGACGTTAAAAGAAATTGCACTGGTGATGGCGGATTTTTCGTCAGACGTAAACGGATCTAAAGCACCTTTAATAAAGAAAAAAATATATAAGTAAGGTATCCTACATTAAATCAGGGGCGTCATTTGGGTAGGGTAGGGTGGGGCATTTGCCCACCGCCCTGAATCTGCAGGTTTCCTATACTTTTGCTATGTACCGTGGTGCCTCCAGTAACAACTTAAGATGACCAAGTTTTGGTTTTGCGCCCCCCCCCCCTTTTTTTTGTTGAAAAAACCTAACATGACATGACGCCTTTGCATTTAATTGATGAAAGATATTATTATTATTATTATTATTATTATTATTACTATTATCATTAATTTAGTTCAAAAGGAAATGCATAAATATTCAATGACTGCTTATTTGTTTTTGTGGTTGTTGTAAACTATGCTCCAAATCTTTGTAAAGAAATATTTCCTATGCATTGGGGAGCCTTAGATAAAGACATTTCATCATGCAAGAAACGTTACAGGAACAATTACGAGTTGTATCTCGGGCATTCCGTCTATCAAAAGTTTTTGCCAAGGAAATGTATTTATTACCCGTGTTCATACTCTGATCAATTCAACAATCACACTTCTCAAAAAACAAACAGTATTTATCCTTATTTTATTATTTGTTTATGTCAAAGAGCAGTTAAGACGATGGTAGAAGGACGCAGCAAAAATGGGTATAGAGTAAACAGTGCAGCGTCCCCAGTTGTATGTCCAACGGTCTGTTTTAATAGAACTTTTTTTTTCAAAGAAACGTCTCCAGACCTCGCTTCTACAGTCGCTTGGACACTCCAGTGAACTGCTGGTATCGTCAAATTATTTGATCGTTAATTTGTAACTTAACATTGTAGATTTTAAGAAGGCGTCTAGGTGTATTATACAATAAACATTTTAATTTTGCTCTCCTGCAGACGAGATCGCCAAACATAAAAACAGGACGGCTGTCTGGTTTGTAAGCCGATGCCATGTGCCGTCCAGGCGGGCTGGCTACGTCAGAGAAATGCAAGTACGCGTCAAGATCACAGCCAGCAACACTGCTCTATTTATGGTCCTTTGTATTCATCTCAAATGAGGGCGCTGCTTGTGCTAAATATAATTTTAACATTCTTTATGGCAGTGTTTCCCAAAATGTGGCACGCGTACCCCTGGGGGGCATGGGAAGAGTGTAATTGGGATACGCGCTGCACCGGGAAAAAAAATATATTTCAAAAAATTTAAAGTAATATGCAACATTTTTTTTTTTTCACGAGGGGTACTCAGAGTTACGCAAATTTTATACGGGGGTACACAGATGTCGAAAATTTGGGAAATACTGCTGTATGAGACCTACTACTGAAATAGAGAAGCTCCGCAGAGAGCGTATAAACAGATTCAGATTTTGTTGTTGTTTTTTTTTTTTTTTTGTTTTTTTTTTTAAAGAAAACATTTTTTTTTTTTGACGCAACTTGTTGATAATTGCAAAGCTAATAGCCGATTCTTTGCTATGAAATTGACTGAGGTGGATCGTCTATGTATTTTTAATTATTTTTTTTTTTTTTTTTTTTTTTTTTTGTTTTTTTTTTTTAAAGACAACATTTTATTTTATTGACGCAACTTGTTGATAATTGCAAAGCTAATAGCCGATTCTTTGCTATGAAATTGACTGAGGTGGATCATCTATGTATTTATAATTTTAAATATATATTAGGGAAAACCAACCTTATCAAATCGAAATGAGAAAAGAAAAGTTTCATCATTCTAAGCGATGTGCTTTTTATTACACAACTTAGTCACACAATTACATTTCATAAAGACATCTTCACAATTTTCCTAGTTAAAGTTATTGAGTTATAACATTGGTAGCGAAAATTACTTGTAGCATATTACATAAACCGTAAGAAAATTTTAATTTCACTGCAGCAGTGTGCGAAACATACGTGACACACAATGCCGGAAGTTTAACATCAATATATTTTTAAAACATTAAAACTATATTATACATTATTGGTCACTCTTTGAATTTCATTAAAAATTATTTATTATTGGGTATTCCCCTTCACTATCCGAGTTACGTCTGTGGAAATGTATGTCGTTGCTTTAACTTTTTGATGAAATCGACCAACGTCTCTCACGTGACTCGACACTCAATCGACTTTACACATATTTTTTTTATTGTTTCATCTTTCAGAAGTACGTCGACGTTGACATATTCGGTGGGTGCGGCAAGAAATGCACGGTGAGGGGGGACTCCTGCACGGAACTGTTTCCCCAGTACAAGTTCTACTTATCTTTCGAAAACTCATTTTGCACCGACTACATCACGGAAAAACTCTTCAAAAATTTCGTCCCGGACCGCCACATCATCCCCGTGGTGCGGGGCGGCGGAAGCTACGACCGGTACTTCCCGGAGGGACTGTTCATCAACGCCGCCCGTTTCAAGTCCCCGAAGGATTTGGCGCTGCATCTGAAAGAGCTCGGCTCGGACCCCGTGAGGTACAGCCAGTACTTGGCGCGTAAGGATTCCTACGTCATCGGGGAGGTGATACACGAGAGGGAGGCTGGCTGCGAGCTGTGCCAGTATCTGAACACGCGAGAGCTGAAGCCCAAAGTTTACGATCTGAAGCGGTGGTACGGGGATGGTCACTGCAAGAGAGCCACCGAAATAAGCTGGCCGTCAGAGCAGAACAGACATTGAAGGCGCACAGGGATCAAATCTGAACTACATAACATTTGCCTTAACTTACCGGATTTTTTCAGGGCTAACATTTTAGGGAATTTCAACCTTAGACATATTCATAAATTTATGCAAATTCGATACAATTATGTTACACACACATATATATCTATATGAAAATGTTAGAAAATTAAAGAGCATATCTGTGGCCCAAATTCAGGAGTGCAGAGCAGCTTTTCTTTGGTGTAATTTGGTATTAAAATTTTAGTACTAGCAGGATTCAATGAACACATCTTGAAGATGTTCATGTCTAATAAATATTTTTTCATTCAAGTGTAAGTAAGACTGTAATTTAATGAAACAATTCTAATGAGTCTCAAATGACATTAAAGCCATTTTTTTTAGCTATACTTTTCGTCATGTATATTTTTTCCTTAAATGCCAGCATCGTGTTATTCAGCTGTGAAAATTTCACTGGTCTCTGATAATAGAATGCATGAAATGCCTATCTTGGTGCTTAACAATGAATGTGATGCCACCAAGTGTTTCTAATGTAATTTAAAGATGAATCGTATCCAGCTCCAAGAGCTATGCCCCATTCAAAGCATAAGACTACTTTATAAAGTATGTTGCAATAGTGACCTACTTGGATTCTAAATATTGGAATATTGTTTGTGTGGTATGCATGTTTTGAAATGTCCGAATACAAACACGTTTAAATGATTCACTTTTGTGTCAATAAATCAATTGGCCTCAGAATTATATCAATTGTTTGATTGAATCTATTAAATGTAGACATTTGGAAGAGAACAAAAAAAATAAATTAGTAGCATATATATAGATATCAATCAGAAATAAATTTGGCGGATTGTATCAGCACTGCATCTAGGTTATGTTTGAAATGCAAAAGTTCGATACAGAGGCGTATCGAAGGGGTGGGGGGGTCAGGTGGGGGAAGATGTCCCTGGGTGGACAGACTGGTTACGGGTGCAAAAATGTGCTTTGATATTATTTTATTGATGAACATGATGGGTTTGAGAGTTTTAAAAAAATAAAGGGAGGCGCTTTAAAATGAATCTTGTCCCCCGGGCGCCAAACACTCTAGCTACGCCTTTGGTTCGATACTTTAGGTTGAAATTCAGAGGATGTTCCTTTAGAGGGTTAAACGTATACATTAACGTATACCGAGAGGGGTGAGGAGCAGCGAGCCATGGTACTGACTTATTATAATATCTAACCCAGTGGTTCTTAACCTTGTTAGAGGTACCGAACCCCACCAGTGTCATATGCGCATTCACCGAACCCGTCTTGATAGGAAAAATAAAAAATAAAAATTTTCTGAATTTTTTTTTTAGACCTCCGCCGATCCCCTGAAACTGACTCACCGAACCCCAGGGGTTCGATAGAACCCAGGTTAAGAACCACTGATCTAACCCAATCTACACCATTTTACGCTTTCAATTATACCAGCAGGTATTTTGCCAACGTGTTTTTGTTTCAAAGTTGATGGAACGGCAATTACAGAAGAAGTTAATTTCCATCGAGTTATTTGAATGTTTTCTAACCACATAGTCTCCACACATCTCGATTGCTCAACCTATGCTTCGCCCTTGTATTTATATACATATACCTAAGAAACACACAAAAAACATTGATCTATCTTTCATTACGTCTTTAGAAAATTTAAATCAAAATATTGTTGGATTAATTGGGGGTGGGGGGCAGTATAACGAATATATTGATTTTTAAAATTATGGATAACAGCTAGCAGTGAGAATCGCGAGCTGTCTGATCAAGGCGAACTGATGTAGTGTTTCAATGTACATTGTGCAAAGTGTACATTTATTTTAATATTTTTATGACACATTCATGTTGTCAGGTGTCTGTGATCTAACTATGGGTCGTGGGAGGGGTGGGGTTGGGGGGGGTTGGGGGGGGGTTGAACAATGACGAATTCTCTCTACGTCCCCGTTACCCCCACTCCCCCCACCCCCCAAACCTCACCCTTTCATCACCCGCTGAGTTCTGCCTGCACCCAGGTTAACGATCTCTGTGTGTGACTTACCTGTCCTGGCGTACCTGTACGGCGCCAGCTATGGTGTGGATCAAGACGTTGCCGTCACAGGGTCACCCTGACCTGTCTCGCCAGCTCCTATACATCTGTCCGTGTACATTACCGCGTTCATATGTTGGGGGTGATCACCTTCTTCTTGCTAGCATGAAAAGTCAATTTCTTTTGTTGACATTAGTTAGTGAAAATTGTGGCCATATTGCCAACGACCAGACGAGCGGATTATTTTGTGTAAGGTTGGCACATAATTAATTCTGTTCAGTCTACAACATGTGAGGTTAAGAGACCTACAGGAGCTCTCAAAATCGCTTGTCGGGACGCCTATCTGGTGCCGGCTTGCCTATCTCGTTTCGGCACGCCTATCTGGTCTCGGCACGCCTACCTGGTGCCGGCTCACATATCTAGTGCCGGCTCACCTACCTGGAGCATGCTCACATATCTGGTGCCGGCTTGACTATCTGGTGATGGCTCGTTTATCTGGTACTGGCTCGCCTATCTGATGCTGGCTGGTTTATTTGGTGCCGGCTCGATTGTCTAATGCTAGCATTGCCTATCTGAAGCCGGCTCGCCTATCTGGTGCCGGCTCGCCTATCTGATGCCGGCTGATAGACCACCATTTTGAGTAGCTTCATTTGAATTAAAAGTGGCCATTTAAGCTGGGTGAATGGATAGCTGCGTGGTCGATTGTGACTTTTGCCCTGGCTAAACCCGAGGAAGCAAAGCCACACCAGCACTCCAACAATGGTACGCCTAATCGTTGAAACCCGTATAGGTTGTGGAACGCCTGATTCTTGAAAGCAGTATGCGTTTGTCAAAGGTGCATTGCTCAAACTACCACGTATTCCTAGTAGTGAATAGGAAGATATGTTGGGCAGTGAGTATTCGGACAATAACTAGGCCAACACACAGACTGCAACTTACTTTTGGCGTATACTGAATGATACATTTTTTAAATTTATTGAAATCATAAATTTTAATCGAGGTTATATATTAACTTCGCAAAAAATAATTAAATTAAGAATCAATAGAAAAATTTTGTCGTTGAAAACCATAAAAGATTACAATTGAAATTATTTTTTCCTAACCAAAAATAAAAGAAAGAGAAAAATTCGGACAATCACAGTTTTAAATGGTTAAAGTATGACTTAATTTTGGCAAAATATTTCATTAAACTGTGTGCAGTCTTAGCAAAACTTGCTTTTCAATTCAGAGAGTATCAGTGGATACATTTAAACACTATGTAAACTGAATCATCTTATAAGGAAAATGATCTATAACATAATGTCTAAGTTTTGCCCGTATCACAAAAAGCCAAACAAGAACAAATTGTGTCATCCGTGTTCGATTTAAAACTTTAAATTTTGCTGTGAGAGGCGGGGACGAAATAAGTGATGGCCAGCAGTTTAAAAACGATAATTATTTATTGGGGCCTCTGTTTCGAGTAATTGAGAGCCACTGATTTAATATCAGCGTCAGTCCTCGTATTCATTTATGATTATTTTTTTTCCACGCGCGCGTCCATCAATCAATACGTCTTCTGACGCTGTATATTTAATGTCTATCTATAATCATAAATAAATATATATACACATAAACTTTTATATACTTTTTATATTCAAAGTTCGAAATCGATATTTTGAATACCGGACGATACCAATGAAATAATGTTAGTGTACGGAGTATCGCGCAAAGTGGAAAGACCGTGAAACTATTTTGAGAGGACTCGAAAAAAAAAATAATAAAAAAACCAAAAAAAGAATTATAAAGTAAGTAATAGAATATTTTTTAATGCGGCTATGTGTTTATGATTAAGATTGGTTAAAAGCTGACGTTTCCCTCATCAAAGAAATTGTAATGGAAAGAGAAAATGAACCATGGACAAACATTACTAAATTATATTGATGCCTCGGAAGTCTATCAGCCGGGCAGCGTCGTTCATCTACAAACGTTTACATTCACCTCACCTAATTTCAATAGACAAAAAAATATGTTTCCAAAATGGAACGAAATTATACAAAGTAACTGAAGACTCAAATAAAGAAAGTGAATTTGTTTTTCATAATAGATTTTTTTTTTACGAATGTCAAATTTACTGCTAAATATTTTACCATTGAATTTCGGACAAAGAACTGACCACAATGAATAATATGTTATGAAAATGTGACTGGAGTTGCTTATTGAAGACAATTTTGATCCAATCTAATCTGCTCCCACTGCACAGGAAAAGACGTCAGTTACAGACGACGATAGCGGAAACGGGTAGTAATCATAGACATTAAGAGTAACGTCCGAAAGACGCGTAGGATGAGAACGGTTTCACTCAAAAATAAGTTGTTTTTCTAGGAAAACTTTGTTTGGCACTTGCTACTGTTACCTGGCAAACCCGGCATTGTCAAATTTACTGTGCACTACAATGAAAGCCTTCGGAAACGAATCGGAACGTTTTAATTATTTGTGATGTTGTAATCTTTTTTTTTGAATAATTTCTGTTTAGTTCTTCTAACAAGTCCGAACCAACTAAAACATCTCGTGAACCAACACCAACGACCAAATCCACACAAAGTGCTTGCTCGAATTATCCAGAGTTGTGGTACGGAGGAGCTGATTGTCAAAGAGAAAGCCGAAAAGTGTCGATGTTAAGTTGCAGTTGCCGGAAACATGTTTTCAAATACCCCTCATCCCAAAGAAAAAAAAAAGCGCCTAATCTGCTAACCCACAAGATTCATTAGGTGCCTATAGATTCATATTTTAAACCGTCTTCTTCTTCTTCAACTTCTTGCGACGACCTTTAAACTCGTAATGGATGCAGTCACTTCTGCAGGGGTCTTCCCGAGTACAAATAGTTCTCCGTACTTGGTAAAGAATCGGATTCGACCTTGGACATGCGCAATTCTAACATCGATTGGATGTAGTCGTTGTTTTGAGATCTTGCTCACTATTGTGGTACCGGGTACCTGGAAATGACAAACTATGACGATGACTCGGAGTGGACGTGCCGGGACAATATTAATAATATGTAATATTACGCGGGTAAGGACTATTCGCTTGGCCCCACACAAGCCTTGGGCGGCCGCCCCGTGCGCCTTGTACTAGTTCCAGCCCTGCCTAAACGAATGTTATAACTCAAGGTAATTGTTTCCCCACAAGAAAATGATAATAGAATAAATTAAATTAAATTAACTTAAAATGTCGGCTGCTTAAGTGAAGAATATTTTTTTTATAGAAATGGAAAACAAATATTAAATTGATAATCCATCGCTAATCATTTGTATGCGCCAATACTTTTTTGAATTCAGCTGAGATGTTTTGCATTCCAGCCCCCCACCATGAGATGGCTGACGAGAAAGCGTTCTGTTCTCATCGGCGGATTTCTCCTGGTTCATCTCATCGTCCTGGCGTTTAACAATCGCTTCCAGATCGTCCGTTATATGAAAGATAGAAGTTCCGCACTTGTTGAAGCATCAAAGCGCTTCCGTGGTGAAGCTAGGGCCGATGTTGCGAAGTCTGCTGAAACCACTTCACCTCGAAACAATGCTGGGAGACCGGACAATAATGTTTCAGTGCAGAATTCTTTGCGAGGAGATACCGATGCCAGAAGAGGCACTCCTGAAAAGGGGGACCACCCTTCTGACAACACCTTCCCCACTCCGAGTGATCATTCCGTAAGTTTAATGGAGACTACAACACCAGGGACTTCAGTCAGTGGTGGAACGTCTCAACAAGTGAGCACACCGTCAAGCGGAAACAAGACAGCAGGAGCCATCGGCTCACTATCCTCCCCTGTAGAGACATGCTTCCGTTCGCCTTATTTCCTGTGCGACCAAGACCAGCCAAAAACCGCCCCCAACCGGACGTTTAAAATTGGTTATTACGGACGGCCGCACTGGCAACGCATCAGCGTGTTTAACTTCTCCCGCTGCAGGTTCTCAAACTGCGTGTACCAAGGCGACAAGGTGACACCTGACACAGACGTGGTGCTCGTGTACGCTGTAGGACTTAGAGATCACTTCAAGCCTCCAAAACTGTTGCCCCATCAGATGTACGCCATCACAGACTGGGAGCCCCCAGACCGAGTTTCAGCAACATTTCTGAACAGTAAGTCCGCACGGTGTAGTCTATAGACTTAAATTCACTCAAAGAGTGTTTGGTAGATTTTGGGATAAGCGACCGGACAAAACAGACCAACGGAATACTGCTATTGTAATCAAATGACATGTGGGTGAAGTGATTACGTCAATCCAATGTGAGTTAAATGTACTGCGGGTACATTAAAGCAAGGGCATACGGTTACTGTCGGTTACTGTCGGTTTACTGTCGGTTACTGTCGGTTACTGTCGGTTACTGTCGGTTTCTGTCGGTTTCTGTCGGTTACTGTCGGTTTCTGTATCCTAATGACATGTGTGAACAATAGTAAAATGACGCATGTGTACTTTACTCTAATGTTACACAGGTACTTTAATCCAATGCCATAAGGTAGTATAGTGGAATGACATGTGGTAAAATAGACAAATGACATTTTTTTTTTTTACCCAATGGCGTAGGGTATTATAGTTCAGTTCCGTACGAAACTCTCATCTGTTAAACATGTTTATTTTGTCATTCAATGGCTGTATTGAAATCGAATATCCTGATTCTACTCTAAGCAGAGTACAGGTGATCGACAGCATGACATTCTAGGATTAAATATATCAAGATGGTTCTTACATTATTTTAAAGATTTTCATTGGCAAATGGTTGTCCCTTGAAGGGGGAACGCCGTCCCGGGAGGGGGGTGGATGGAATAGATCACGAAATAATTTTGTGCCAGAAAGGGACAGGTATGTGTATTTAAGAGCCTGGATGCCAAGTTAACTTCAATATGAAATCGCCTAATAAAATACAAATTAAAAAAAAAAAACTATGCAAATTTGTCACAATAATAAGATATAGGAGCCAGAATGATCTATACATTGATTGGTTGGTCCTCAAAATATTGCAGAAGGAGATATCGCACAACCTCTTGAATACTATAATTCTTTTTAAATTACTTTAACACTATTTCAAATATGCAATTTAGTTCATGCGTTAAATCTTTCAAAGTTTACTATTCCCGTCAACCTCTCTCCAACACTTGAGACATAGGCTCGTTGACGATGACAACACATTCTGTCCAATGTTCAGCCCCATCCCTTAACCCCTTAAATATTTCCTTTTGTTTGTTTTTTTTTTCTAAAATGGTTGGAGAAGTAAATCTGCAGTATACAAGCAGGTGGGTCATTAGAATATTAATAGTGTTTTCATGGGCGGTAAGAAAATGAGCGTTTGGGAGCCTTTCGGGCAGGGGAGGGGCACTAATTCAGATTCTTAAAAAATGCATTACTTCTATATATGTAGGTTTTTTTTCAAATTTTCAGTCCCACCCCCCCCCCCACACCCACCCAAAAAAAAAAAATTGTTCGAAATAATATTTTCTGAACGATTTTTACGGTAAATTTTGTTTTTAAGGGTTGTTTAATTCGTACTTGCACAAGGTTGTTGTTTTTAGGTTTTTTTCAAAATTTCCACCCCCCCCCCCCCCCCACACCCACCCAAAAAAAAAAAATTGTTCGAAATAATATTTTCTGAACGATTTTTACGGTAAATTTTGTTTTTAAGGGTTGTTTAATTCGTACTTGCACAAGGTTGTTGTTTTTTTTTTTTAATGAATGATATATCACACTACACGTGCACCAACATACTTTACACAATCTCTCTCACATTTTGTAATACTTTAGGTGACCATGGGATACATGTACATGCGTGTAATGGACCGACCTGATTTGGCGATAAAACTCATGTTGGTTATGAACAATGCGTCAAATTATTGACCCGAAGTATCGACTCTTCACACATTAAAGGGAAGAGTTGTTACATAAAAGAAAAATAATTGATTACCCCACGGCTGTCGGGGGGGGGGGGTGTGTCAGGCTCACGTGATGTAACAAAAGCTATTAAAGAACTTTTTAATGTTTTTTTTTTTTATCAAGTATCAAATTTTTTTTTACAATGATAAATATTATGATGTAACAAAAGCTATTAAAGAACTTTTTAATGTTTTTTTTTTTTATCAAGTATCAACTTTTCTTTGACAATGATAAATATTGACAAGGTGGTTTTTTGGTTGGGGGGGGGGGAGGAGGGGGGAGTATACTTTTTAAACTGAAAATTTAAGGAAAAAAAATTGATTGACACAAATCTTCGTGTGTTGACTTTGTGGATAAATATTTGACCTGCCTGTCCAAGTACTACGTTGTTAATACTACTTCTTAAGAGGGAAAACTCACAACAAAGCCACCTATAAAAAATTACCTTGATATATTTCCAATGCATACACACACACACACACACACAAATATTAAAATATTCACTTCTCCATCATGCTTTGACATTTAAGTTACGATGTTAATGAATATAGTCTAGCTCTATACATTCTTTAGCATCAGAGATTGGATTGGAAATATTCTGCAACAAATTCATATGATCAAAAACATTGTTTAGCTTCAGATCCTTGTTCATTTTTTTTTTGGGGGGGGGGGTTCATTTTTGTTTCATTTTTTGGTTGATTTTTTTTCTCACCATTGCCCTGAACATGCATGATCACCAGATGCGAGTTCCGTGTGGAACCACGTCTTCAACCTGACCATCACGTACAGAGTTGACTCGGACATACCCGTACCATACTCGAGACTTAAACCTAACCCGAAGTCTAATGAGGAAAGACCCAATTATTGTAAGAATAGAGCTTTAAACTTTTTTTTTTTATCTTTTCATACGTCTCACTTGATATTATTGTATTTTCTATAACTATAATATTTTAAATAGAGAGAAGCAAATCAAACCATTGGTATGCATCAAAGATTTTGAATGCTTGGACACAACGACAAACCCAGCTTGATTGAAACACACAAACATAACCGGATTTTAGCTTAGCTTATAAGAATTTGTAATTTAATCATAGGAACAACCAGGCAAGGCATACACACACAGTCAGATTCATTTTTATTTTTATATTTGTAATAGAACAAGTACTTATAATAGTAAATGGATTATAATTTGTATATTATTATTTTTATTTTTTTACATTTTTGATTTTCTAAACTGTAATTTCATTACTAACCATGGAAATTTAAACTTCATATTTTCGGTCGAGCTTTAAAATATTAAAAATTCCCAGGAATATTAGGTTTTTATCGTAATTATGTCTTCTTTAGAATTTAGCAAGCTTGATACATTTTTGTCTCATTCATGTTGAAACGTCATATATCTTGGTCTCATTCGTGTTGAAACTTGTTATATTTTGTTCTCATTCATGTTGAAACTTGATATATTTTGGTCTCATTCGCGTTGAAAGCGTCTAGTTATAAAACAATCAGCAGCCGAAAGTTCAAAAGGCTTGATATGACTTGAAATAACGAATCTTAAAAATGCTTCAACACAGACGGCAATAACGTTATGATTCGCTAAACTGTACCAGAATGTAACACAGAAACGTTGACCCCCTGAGTAAGAATAACGTTGGGGAAAGCTCTAAGTTGTTTCTTTAATATATATATATATACACACATTGCCTTTCTTAACCGCCTTGTCAAACCCTAACTGTGCCGCAGATGAAATCGCCAAGCAGAAGAACAGGACGGCATTATGGTTTGTGACCAGGTGTAACGTCCCGTCAAGGCGAGCGGACTATGTTAAAGAAATGCAGGTTAGTGTTTATGCGGCAGGTGTAATTATTTCTCTTTTTCTGTTCAATTAAACTTCTTATTTTAAATAAATTTTTGTGTGTTTGTAAGTTGAGAAGCATCAGATTATTATATTTTTAGAAATCAAAATTATCCATTATCCATTTCGTAATGATCTGATTTATCGTGTTATCCAGTCTTAGTCAAGAAGTAAGGCATATTTAATAAATGTAATATCTAATTACTCTTAATTTCTCGAAAAGCAACACTGGAACTTAAGATGACCATGAGAGAATAACTCACTCAAAACTTGTATACCTTAGATCAAGTCAAATTATTCTTAATTTTGCTTTTGACACTTTTTTTTTCTTTAAATTAAACAGTTGAACACGATATGTTTTAGCCTTTGATAAGAAAAGACAGGACGACCAAATGGACGTTTCGCCGAGATGCCTTCTTCAGCAGGCGATGCAAAACAAGAAACAACAGATACTTAAGAAGAAAGTATTCCAAATCATAAAGAGCTTCCAGTTCTAAACAACAAACTCCATTGAAAATAATGAGATTTTCACCACAAAAACAACTAAGATTGTATTTCTGTTTTTTTCGGAAAGAGTATATCTTTTTTCCTTGTCTTATATCGTCTGCTGATGGATGAAGGCGTCCAGGAGAAACCTCACTTTAACTGTCCGACTGTTGCTTTACATGCCTACAAACTTAACAACGCTTGTACGCCGTTTCGTCTAAAAAAAAATATTATAATTTTTTTTAATCTTCAAGTACACATTGGGCAAACTACGACACATTTAATTTTTTACTTGCGATCGAGTTTCGAAAAATTGGGCGTATTGTTTCCCTCTTTTTATTATACGGCATTTTACTCTTAAATGTAATTTTTTTTTCAGAAAGTGCGTGACATCTATTATTTAATCGTTAAAGACTACCTCATTTCAGTCATTATTTTTACTTATCTTAACTTTTTTCATTATAAACATTTAGTAAAATATTTTTTTATTACCTGTCAACGTTCAGAAATACATCGACGTTGACATATATGGCCAGTGTGGAAAGCGATGCTCTGGTGGAGAGTACTGCACGGAAGATTTCCTACAGTACAAGTTCTACTTGTCGTTTGAGAACTCCTTCTGTACCGACTACATAACAGAGAAACTCTTCCGGAATTTCGCTCCCGGCCGGCACATCATCCCGGTGGTGCGGGGTGGCGGCAGCTACGACAAGTATTTCCCCAAGGGACTGTTCATCAACGCAGCTCACTTCAAGACACCTAAGGCGCTGGCACTTCACCTCAAGGAGCTCGCGTCTGACCCCATGCAGTACAGTAAACAGTTGGCATTCAAAGACTCGTACGTGTTAGGGGAAGATACACTGTTACATGAAGCTGGGTGTGAAATATGCACATATTTTAACACACAAGTCGCTCAGCCGAAAAAGTATGACATGAAAAAGTGGCTTTACGATGGTCACTGCAAGAAGGCTTCTGAAATAAGTTGGCCTGCTGAATAATTGTATGCTCTTCTTTTTAGTCTGTATTGTTAATTTAATATTAGGAACTAATTAGCGTGTGCTTGTAATGTGCATCTTCTCTTCAAAAAAAAAAAAAAATATTTGTATGCGACAAGCTTCATTTTTTAAATTTATTTTAAAAACATGATTAGTCTGAGCCTTAGTTCACCAAACAGTGTTGCGGGCATTGAATATCCTCTAACTTCAAGACACATGCATGGAGTGATAGCTCCTCAATCGCCCTCTCTGCTAATTCGCAGGTGACATTATATGAAGAAGAAATAAAATAGATACAAACTGGGTTGACAGTGGACAGCAAATGTGACTAAAACATCGAATGCATCCGTGACTGTGATCATGGGGGTCACTGCCTCTAAGCAAGTTCAATCATTTGTTGTTGTTTTTTGTTGTTTTTTGTGTGGCTTTTTTCATCTTTAGATTCTGTATTGTCTTCCTCCACTTTGTGAATGCGTTGCTTTGGTTTCAGCGTTTATATCAAAACCTTTTACCCTACTCTCCCTTCGTGCTCTTTACTCTCCATCCCAATCCTTGCAAGCTGGATGAAGTCACTTAAAGTCAACTAAGCCGTTGGCCCAGCATCTGACTGCATTTTGATCTGAACATGGAATACTCATAGAATGTATAGAAGTAGACATTGAAGACTTGTGCATCATTGAGAAATCGACTCACTAAATTAGAGTCAATCAATTTATTGTGATAAAACTATGGTTTAAAAAAACAAAAATATTTAAGGAAGATTTAAGGGGAAATTTTTGAAATATGCAAATATTTTAACACACAAGTCGCTCAGCCGAAAGAGTATGACATGAAAAAGTGGCTTTACCACGGCCAGTGCAAGGAGTCTTCTGAAATAAGATGGCTTACTGAATGAAAGAATGATTTTATTCTTCATTATAATTTATATTTATAGTAGTCAATAGTTTTTTTTTGTTTTTTTGTGATGTTGTTGTTGTTTTTTTTTGCTGTACTTTTAAATTCTGAAAGAAGAAGATCTTCAGTGTTATTTTACAACATATCATAAGGACAGATACAAATGAGCTGGAATATAAAAGGGCGTGGCGGCTTAATGGTCTTCTTCACAAAAAGCCCAAGGTACTTGAATTCTCGGGGCCGACCAGTCTGTTTCGAACAACCACCAATCCTCTTCTTCTTTTTTTCTTTCTTTTTTTTTTTTTTTTTGCATTCGATAACTGGTTTCTTTTATTTTTTTTTTTTTTTTTTTTTTTTTTTTTTTTTTTTTGCATTCGATAACACGTTACTTTTTTATTGACGTCTTTCAATGTAAACAAACGTTAAATTTGCAAGTTGAAAACTATTTTCTTATCTCTTAATTTTAATAGATAGTAATTGTTGTTTTCTTTATAATTTTTTTTTTCCAAGTGTTGGTTCAATATAAAATAATGTGTATTCAGACGCCTTTGCTTTTTTTGTTTTTTTTGTATTAGCTTACGCTTTTGTACGCATTTCTGTTTCTTAAACTAATTGACCATAAAAATGTTTGCGTAATACAACTCATGAGTTCAAACTCCTCCTATTTAGTCCACTTTCCAATACGTGTCACTGGTGCTCTCATTCAACTCCCAGGTTCATGCATGCACTCCCCTGAGCCTTGCCCCCCCTCCCGCCCTTTACGCCAACCTCGTTTCAAGCCACTACCCACAAAAATTTATTTACGCCCTTCCCCACACATTGTTTAATGCCCCTCCTCGCACTTGTTTCACATCCCCCCTCACATTATTTCACGCTGCTTACCCCGAAACCTTGTTTCACGCCACACCGCACACCTTGTTTCGCTCCCTTCCTCCCTGTTTCACTCCACTCCCCACACGTTGTTTCTGGACCATCCCCACCTCTTGTTTCACTCACCGCCTCACATTACGTTTAAAGGCTCCACCCTACTCCCTGTTTTACTCCCCTCTACACACATTCTTCACACCAAATCCATGCCTCATTACACTCCCCCAACAAACGTTGTTTTACTTCCCCCCCCGTCACCTTGTTTCACTCCCACCCACGTCTTGTTTTGCTCTTCCCCACACCTTTTTGCACTCCCACCCACACCCATGTTTTACGCATCTCCCCACTACCTGTTTCACACCCCATCACACACATCGTGTCAAGGCCCATCATACACCTTGTTACACTCCCCGCCCCACATCTTGTCTTACAACATCTTGTTTCACTCTCCTCCCCAAACCCGGCCTCACGTTTATCCCCAAGCTTTATTTCACCACCCCCAACGCCCCCCCCCTTCCTTTTCGACCACCTTGTTTCACACTCTTCCTCAAACAGTCTTTCACGCCCTTCCTAATCCTTGTTTCAGGCCCTTCCTTAAGTTATCATTACAGCTTCTTGGTCGTTTCTGTTTATTGAACTTCCACACAAGCTGTAAGATTGTTTTTTGTGTTTTCCTTACCATCTAAACCCGTCACCCTCCTTATCCATTCCTAACAATCCTTTTCTTCATTTTTCTTACCAAAGGATGTGGTAAAAAAACAAAACTGTTGAGCTAAGTAAAGAATCGTTCAACGACATTTCTAGCTATTGTCACAAAAAGAGAGAATTAATAGTTTTTCTGATTTCAAGGACAGGAACACGTCCCATCTCATTACGTAATGTAGCTATTTTTCGACAAAGATTTCAGGAAAAAATAGCTCCTCATAATGTTTACTAGTGAGCCACTCGTCGAAGTGTAGGACTACATAGCTACTGCGTCGTCTATCGAAGACGGGTGGATGCCATACATATATATCAGTAACCATTTGAAAAATCTTTCCTGAAAGGAATCTGTGAATGCGTTTTGGTCTAGGTTAAGACCCACTGCGCTGGCTCACATCGTCGTAGAAGTACCAACAGCCGTTGAGGGATTGGTCAAACAGAATACTAGGATGTTTTAGTATTATCTTTACGCTTCGAAGCTGTGACCCGACCGAACGTCTCTAGGTCGGCGAGCACACCCCCGAAGAAATTCGGAGGTGTCACACGGATCTTACCTCCTCGTGGTGTGAAAGATTAGTAGGGAGGAGACTCCTGAAGCTAAAAGATCCAAGCAAAACGCATGACTTCCAATGCAACGGAAGTTGCGCGCTAACATGATTACGTGTCGCCGATAATGGATATGAGGCTTAGGTATTTCAAAACCTTTGCTGAGGGTTAAAACTATGCGGCCCTGAGAAAGCTGCTCCTAGGCGACCGTTTCGTCCCGACACAGTCCCGCCCGAACTACTCCCGGAACGGTGGGGTGAGGTCACGCAACACCTCCCCCGGAGAGGAAGCAAAGCCGTTCTGACCCACGTCCACACAACTCCCAGGAACGGGGGGAGAAAGTTAAGCTCGAGACTACTACCGGAGTGGAGGTAAAGCCGTGCCACACCAAGGAAAGTACGGCTCCCTGGACCATGTTGTGAGGTAACGCAACATCATCCCCGGAGAGGAAGCAAAGCCGTTCCAACCCAACGTCCAGACCGAATGACTCAATGGGCAAGGGGGGTGGTGACGCAAAACTGTCCCCTGATGAGTGGAAGCAAACTGGCCAACCATCCAATTACTCGAGACCGTGTTGCATGGCTGGAGTCCCCAGGGACTACTGGGCTATGTTTCATGGCCGAGGTCCTAAGAGTTAGACTCTCGACCTCCTAAGAGTATTGAACTTTATCAGTATTATCTTTAGGAGATTGACCACGTTGTATACCCCGATGTTCTTTTAATGGATTTCCGCCATTGAATGACCAACCCAAAAATGGTGTGCCCAAAACATTTCGAACAGAACTAGAAGGCTTTGGATATGACTCCAACAGACGTATTATACATTTATAAATAAGATGTAAATATGTTACAGAAAAAAATAATTAAAAAAAAACAAAACAAATCAGACAGTTCCCTTCTGTCAAAAATGAAAAACAAAGATAAACTTTAATAATTCTGAGCTGTTGATTTTTCAATGATTTGATTTTATAAAATGTTTCAAAATTATGATTGACATTTACTATTTCATTTAATAAAACATGAAGTTAAAAAGGGAAAAGTTTATCAAATTTGGCCGAACCCAACAAGCACGGATCTTGAACACCTTATTGAACGCACCTAAAAGTAAGCGAGGAAACAAATGAATAAGTCCCGCGTGATTATTCAACGTTTCCTGATTTGTTTTTTTTTGTTGTTTTTTTTAAGACGGTAAGTTGCCTTTATTGATAAATTATTTATTGAACATTTTTTTTTGGGGGGGGGGGTGGGTGGTGCTCTTCTCAGCTTAAAACATTCTGGCAGAATTATAGGTTTCACTTAGTTCAGATAATTGGCCCCATGACGTCATTTACTTGTTTATTTAAGATTTCGTGTAGGATACACTCCCCTCTGTTTATACTTGGAGAATTATTTTTTTAATCATTTTTGGTAACATACTATTAGTATTTTAGGCTTATTGTTTTTTTGTTTTTGTTGTTGTTGTTCGTTTTCTGAGTTTATTTTAATTTAAATTGCAATATAAATGTTATTATTTTAAATGAGCATACAATTTAAACCTATTTATTGAAAAATGTACCTTTATTCATCGGAATAGATTAATTAGACACCAACGATTTGTGTCAATAGAACAAAATAAGGTAAGCTTTAATACTAATTATACAGAATACAAAGGAATACGTTTCGACACATGCCTTCATTAGTACAACAAAAAGACAATTAAATAAGTATCAATTTAATTTACATAATATATATATATATATAGAGAGAGATATTTATATACAGATATCCTACCTAAAAATGGGGAGAGAAACTAGAAGTCGGCGTTTTTTTTTTGGGTAGGATATCTGTTAATAAATAGCTATATATAAATATTATGTAAATTTAATTGATACTTATTTAATTGTCTTTCTGCTGTACTGATGAAGGCATTAGCCGAAAATTAGAAATTGCATGTGCAACAAAGATGGCGGTCATGACAAAAATAAAAAAAAATAATTAAAAAAAAAAGAGCCATGGTGCGGTTTGTCTGCATTGACCAAGGTTTCGTGCACAGTTCCTTGTCGTCAACGATGTGTACCCACTTTAGCGTTTGTCTGCATTGACCAAGGTTTCGTGCACAGTTCCTTGTCGTCAACGATGTGTACCCACTTTAGCGTTTGTCTGCATTGACCAAGGTTTCGTGCACAGTTCCTTGTCGTCAACGATGTGTACCCACTTTAGCTTGAAATTTTGTCTGTCTCGGTCAGATGTTGCATCTTCAATTTGACCCCCTTCCTCATCTCAAACTGAGTTGAAAAATTTGCAAGAATTTATTTTACACTTATTCGCACATTCTTGTGTGGGAAAACTTGGTTTTTTCAAAGTATTTTGTAATATGTATTGTTTTAAATGTTCGACCTAAAGAGTACTTAATAACCTATTACTGACAACTGAAAATCTGATCAAAACGTTAATAATCAGTTATTGTAGTGAGATTGGGCACAATTTGATTAATAATTGTTTCGGATTTAAAATGGTCTTATTTCTTTTACGTTAGATTTAAAAAAAAAACAAAAAAACACACAATAATTGAACAATAATTCGATGGTGAGGGAGAAAAAACAATAATACAACATTTTCCATGCTTTGTCTTCTATAGATTTTGATTTCATCTTCAGAGACTAGACTAGACAATTATTTATGCACATCAATATAAAAAAAAAATTAAAAAATTTTAAACACAGCAATCATTAGCACCAATAATAGCACCAACGTATCGGAGAAGTACCTCAACGGAGTAGGTAAGTTCTCCTTTCTATTTGGAAAGCATAATAAGTTGGAAGGGTGGCTACGTTGACATTAAATCAAATACTCTAAAAAAAATATAGTGCAAAATCCAATTTATCTGATAAAGAAAAAAAAATCCCATGTAAAAGTCATAAGGAAGGTACTTTAAAAACAAGCTAAAAGTTCATTCTCGTCCCAGGATTTTAATTAAAAGAGGTTAGCACACTGATCCCTACAGTAAAAAGAGAGAGAATTCAAAAAGACACCAACTGATATTTAAATCAAACGACCGGAAAGGGAAAGACCAAGACATGAACTGACCTGGTGCAAGTAGATTAAGTCCGGCCATAAACGAAAGAATTCGCTAAGTTCCTATTCACTGAAGACGAGCTGAAGAGGACAAAGAATTTCTAGCTTGACGAGTATTTCTCGAAACACAACGTGAAATTCAGGCCAGTTCTCACTGAGCTGGCAATTTAAACGTAAGGCACTAAAGCAGCGGTTCTCAACCTGTGGTCGCGACCCCATGTGTGTCCAACGACCCTTAAGCCGGGGCCACCTAAGAACACCCGAGATCACATATTTATGATGTAGCAGCGAAAATAAGCTTATGGTTGAGAGGTCGCCACAACATGAGGAACTGTGTCATTGGGGTCACGGCATTAGGAAGGTTGAGAACCACTGCTGTAAGGAAACATCAAGTTACTTTTGACACAGTTGATAAAATGCGATTAAAGACAATGTTATTTTCACAGACAAAGTTTCCTTAGAGGGCTGAACCAATTCATAAAATAACCCAAGAATTTTGAAGGTTTACCTCCGAGTTATTTGTTCAAAATTTAATATACGTTAATAAAATTTTTTTTGTTCTCCATAATAGTCAATATTTTTTTTTTTAATTTATGTTTGGTCGTTTTATTTCAGACCTTTCACGAGATGCCATGAGATATCATATAGGAAAGCGATGTAGGATACTGAAATGTTTGCTAATTGGTATCGTGTTCCTATCGCTGGTCACAAACTATAATCTCAACCAAGAGTGGTCAGAAAACGGGGAGCATATTGGAAAGGATGAAGAAAGCGAAACGAGGCTTACATCAGCCGAGGAGCCAAGTATCACCAAGCGAGACGAGAAATGGCTTCAGGAAAGTTTGTCTGGCAATATCGTAAAAAAGGTGAAAGCAGTTATGAGGTCAAGTCATCCTTTTTATCTGGATGAGCTCACAAATGCTGGCGACGGCGTGGACAGTGTTCAACCCGAGACATTGGACCCTTGCTTCGCGTCCCCGTATTTCCTATGCGACCACGAACCGACGAAACCCATCACAGATCGGACATTCAACGTTGCCTATTTGAGACGCCCTGACTGGCAGCCGAGCGACGTGTTCAATTTCTCCCGCTGCAGGTTCTCAAAGTGCGTGTACCAAGCGGAAAACGTAACCCGGGACACAGATGTGGTCCTCGTGTATGGGCTCAGGCTCTCTGACAGCTACCCTCCTCCGAAAAGATGGCCCCATCAAGTGTACGTTTTTGCAGACTGGGAACCCCCGAACCGCATCAACGCGACGTTCTTGACAAGTGAGCCAGTTAGAAAATGTTCAGGCCGTACCGGTGAAGGGCCCCCCCCCCAACCATACCTTATCATTATTGCTTTTTTAACGGCCAATTAAAAAAAAACATTCTAACACCGTAATTACATTTATTTGGAAAAATTATGCAACCTCCTCCGAAAAGATGGCCCCATCAAGTGTACGTTTTTGCAGACGGGGAACCCCCGAACCGCATCAACGCGACGTTCTTGACAAGTGGGCCAGTTAAAAAATGTTCAGGCCGTACCGGTGAAGGGCCCCCCCCCCCAACCATACCTTATCATTATTGCTTTTTTAACGGCCAATTAAAAAAAAACATTCTAACACCGTAATTACATTTATTTGGAAAAATTATGCATTAGCCCCTAAAGCGGTAATCCAGTTTCGACACGCTCGTGATTTAAAAAAAAAAAAAAAAAAATTACTAGTTTTTTCAAGTTCATTGTCTTTCCCTGACGACATCGAAGTATGCAGGGGTGGGGAAAATGGGGAAAATTGGGGGGGGGGGTATGGGAAGGGGCGTGTTGGAAGGGGGCGTGACATATCCATTGACAAACGAAGATTCGGACGACTTTTCATTAGACTTAATGTTATCAATTTCCGGCTGGTTATAAAGTAACCTTTAAACTTTAACCCCTACCCCTTGCCCCCTGCCCCTTGCCCCTCCATCCATTTTTTTTCCTCCAAATATAATTCTTATAACGCAAAAATACAAAGATAAAATTTATTCTTAAAACTCAAAACAGAGGGGTGTTTTTTTTTTCTCATTTACAACTTTAGTTTAGCAAAGCAGATTTCATTTACAACTTTAGTTTAGCAAAGCAGATTTCATTTACAACTCTTGTTTAGCAAAGCAGATTTCATTTACAACTTTAGTTTAGCAAAGCAGATTTCATTTACAAGAACATAATGCTAAACCTTCACAGGTGCATATTAATAATTTCTGTTATAATACCTTTCAAAAAAAAAAAAAGGTTGAGGGTTGGGTAGGATACGACATTGAAGAGGGAACTTTACAAAGGAAGTGCTCATAACTGACTACCGGTATATAATATTATTATTTATTTTCCCACAAAATCTAAATGAACTTTTGGACACGAATCCGACATGACAACACATCAGATTGAAAGGTAAAAAAAAAAAAAATTTCACTGTATGAGGTTTAGATATGGAGATTCATAAGATATTTTGACCATAGATCTGAAAGGTGCTGTAAGAAACTAGCTAACACAACGCCCGTATAGCGTACATGGTGCATCTCAGGACACGTTTGTAAAGGTTTTATAATTAAATTTAAATGTTGTTGATTCCCCTTCTTTTAATGGTCGTGAAATTCTTCCTCCAGACAGCAGCTCCGTGTGGAACCACGCCTTCAACCTGACCTTCACCTACAGACTAGATTCGGACATACCAGCGGTCTACTTCAGGCTCAAACCCAACCCGAGGCATGCGAAAGACAGACCTGACTACTGTAAGTAATATTCAGTCTCTTTCTGTCGTTTAATCTCTTACTACATCTTTAACATACGCGTGTGAGGACGCACAGATAAACAAATAACAAAATAAATCAAAACCAGAACGTTAAAAAAGCTACGGCCTTAACATTTATATCTGACTCATCCTTTGCAACAGGTTCTTTCAACCTCGACACTGCCAATAAAAAAAAAAATGCTTATATCAATACTTTAAGGCAGACCTGTACAACATGTGGCCCGTGGGCTGCATATGGCCAGTCAGCACCCACGTTGCGGCCCGCGAAGTATCGAAATAGTATTTATTATTATTATTCTCTTAATAGCTTTATCCCATGACCTATTTTCTTTCGGCATTCACAAGTTTTTCCTAAAGTAGTAGTACGGCCCACCTTACATGTTGAGCTGTGCAGACCTGCTTTAAGGCGAAACCTGAATGATACACCACAGCCTGCTTAAATTATATTATAATTAAATTATAAAATATTGATATCCAGATCAAATAGCCAAACAAAAGACCAGGACGGCTGTCTGGTTTGTAAGCCGATGTAACGTGCCGTCAAGACGAATGAGTTTCGTCATGGAGATGATGGTAAGGGCCAAACCATTTTCTGCGGGGTTTCAAAACCTCTTTTTGAAGAGGGCGCCGTCACCACGGCTGGGCGCCACCAAATAGATGGGGTTGTTTTTTGTTGTTTTTTTCAATTTTGCGGCTGTTAGTTTCTAAAACCTATATGAAATTAAATACATTTCCTAACTCATTTTCTTTAAATTGCCCGCACTTAGGGGCGTACGTAAGGCTTTGGGCAACGCTACTTACACCCAGGGTTTTCTTCTATTTAATTAACAAATATGTATGTAAACGCAATTGTTAAACACATTGTTGAAGTTCACATTTTTCATTCATACTGAACTTCTTTTACGTGAAGGAATCTAATTAGTTTTTAAGTGACAAAAAAAAAAAAAATTGATTCCTTTTAAAAGAAATATAATACGATGTTTGCAACCGCTTTCCTTTCCAGAAATACGCAGACGTTGACATATACGGCGCTTGCGGCAAGCGGTGCACATTGCAGTCAAACGATTGCACCGAAAATTTCGCCCAGTACAAGTTTTACTTATCTTTTGAAAACTCCTTCTGCACCGACTACATCACGGAGAAGCTGTTCAAAACATTCGTCGACGGCCGACACATCGTCCCCGTGGTGCGGGGCGGCGGCGACTACGACCGGCACTTCCCGGAGGGACTGTTCATCAACGCCGCGGACTTCAGAACCCCGAGAGAACTTGCGATGCACCTGAGGGATCTCGGTTCTGACCACGAGAGGTACAGCAAGTATTTAGAGCGTAAAGACGCCTACGTGATCGGGGAGCTGACTCATCAGCGGGGAGCCGGTTGCGAACTGTGCAGATATCTGCAGACACGGGAGCTGAAGCCGCAGGTCTACGACATGAAAAAATGGTTCGGGGACGGACACTGCAAGACGCCATCAGAAATACGTTGGCCTGAAAGTTGAAAGGAATCGTGTACATCGTCAATGTGGTTGATTGGTGTATGTTGTTCGTGCAATGATGCAGTCGTGATTCTTCTTAAATACGTTTATTATTCGATTCATTAAAAAAAATTTAACTGGAATTCAATTCATTTTCATAATGTGATTCAACTAGTTCATTGATTATCTTCAACACTTGGGTTTAAACATGTTTTAACCAATCAATATTAAGTTCACTGGCTTGGAACGGTGGGCTGAGGTTGTGGGATGAGGTGGTTGGCTGAGGTGGTTGGCTCAGGTATCGGGTTGAGGTGGTAGGCTCAGTATCCAGACTGAGTTGGTGTGGGATAAGCTGTCGGGCTGAGGTTGCGGGCTAAGCTGGTCGTCTGAAGTGGTGGGCTGAGCTGATGGGCCGCCCATGCCGTCCATTTTAATGAAATAAAATATGCCCATTGAACCAAAAGCTTATACAGCTACTGAGCTAATTAAATAGTATTCCTTTGTTACTTTCCAGAATCTCTTAGCTTTTGAAAGCATTGAACTTAAACTAAACTTGAGAAACCATTCTCTCAACTTGCTTAATTTTCTAGAGTGCAGAAAACTTAGTAATGTTTTTAAAATTAAAAAAAAAATATCGTAGTCACCAACTGTAGGGTCCTTATTTTTAGTGTTTTACTAGGCATACAAAAATTATTCAATTTATAATTCTTTTATTCTATTTTATATCGACAAATAAACCATAGGAGGAGCTAGAGATAATTTGCCGGCTCTCCAGGGTGTCTTAGACTTTGGGAAATGTCAGCTAAATAAAGTCTAACTGCGTAAAACAACAACAAAAAAAAAAACAATTGTAAAAAATAACAACATAATCCCAAATGAGGTAAAGTTTAAATGGGACGCAAAGAAACGTGTGACAGCTAATTTTAGAAGTGATTGTAAAAACAATCCTCTCCCCACCTGGGCCTTTGAATGCTTTGACATGGAACAACAAAGCTGTAATGGGAATGGCGTTGTCGGTGTTTTTGTTGCTATTGTCTAGCGGTTTCAGTTGATTGAAGGAATGAGACGCCACACAGCGATCGACCAAGGTAACAACAACAACAACAAAACTGAAATAAATAAAGTAACGTCCATCCCATCTTGTTTAAGATTCTAGGAGTAGCAATTAATTTTAACACCTGTGGCTTTGCTGTGCGTCTACTTTTCTGTATCATACCCGGCAGCTGTGTCAGCTGTGTGTAACTATAACTCAGTTTGGGGGGGGGGGGGCTTCTTATCGTTTCTTGTTTTACGAAACTGGTCGTAAAGATAAGGGCAGTTCTGCTTTACACTTCCTGATTCACGCGGCTTTATCGTTTTCACAGAATGCGCATGGACTTGTTTTGTGAGCCAGAAACAAAAATAAGACGAAACATAATGATGACCCCGTCGGCAGGACTCGCCACGCCTCCTCCTCAACACACACTTCCTAAACCATGCCTGGCACCTCTTGTAGCACTAACCATTCTCGAAATCCTATCTTCTTCAAAGCTACCCTGCGCAACACCTCCCCGAACCAACCCTCCCCCATAACTCTTTAAAAAAAGCTTAGCAACCGTTCCCCAGAAACACCATTTCCTGGCCTCTTAAGAAACACCATTTCCTGGCCTCTTAAGAAACACCATTTCCTGGCCTCTTAAGAAACACCATTTCCTGGCCTCTTAAGAAACACCATTTCCTGGCCTCTTAAGAAACACCATTTCCTGGCCTCTTAAGAAACACCATTTCATTGAGTGGTTGAAACAAAAAAAAAAGAGGAAACGGGGATGCTTTCAAATGAATCTTGTCCCCGGGGGCGAATCTTGTCCCTAGGCGCCAAAACTCTAGCTACGCCTCTGCCTAGAACAAGGGGGTGGGGTGCGGGAGGATTTTTGTGCGCAGACAAAATCGGTCTTTAAAGTTTCTTTTTGAAATCAAATTAAATATGTATAGTAAACATTGTTTCCCAAGTTTCTTGACTATTGGTGTGCACCACACCAGCATTTCTTTCTCTCAGGTCGGTCGACCCGTCCGGGGAAACTTTCCCACTGGCACTTTCATAAACCTTTGTATGGTCTTATGCGGGCGGCCGCATTGTGTTACGTGTGCAGGGCTTTTTTCTCGTCACTGCTGCGTCGTCAAGAGCCAAACGTGTCTCGGGACGCGTATGTTCCACATAGAGCGGAATGACTGGGAGAATGGGCCGGAGTTTCTCTCTTGCCGGGGCACTCGACTGTCTTTTCAAGTTCTGTAACCTGGTGAATAAAGGAATGTCTTTTTAGACAACTCAGCGGCTCCAAGTAAATGTGCATTTTAAAACTAGTGTTCTTATTCATTAAACACCCTGAGCAGTAGTTAACATTGATTGGTCTCTCCTTATATCAAGTGGCTCCAAGTTGGCTGTAACTTCCAAAGCGTCTGTGGTTTTGAGTGCACAACAGCTAAATCGCAGCGCCTGGATTCTGGATTCTCTACAATATTTGCTATGCAATTTTTGCGGTCAAAGGATTGTACGGGCATGCTGTAGTCCATCACTGTTCTTACCTTAATTAGCGAACACTTCGATCCCCACGTTGGCTTCTAGTTCTGCTGACACCACCGTGAGGTCGGGACAGAGCAACGTTTGCCTCCGTCAAGCAGTGTTGGGACGCTGTACACATCTTGCAGCCACATGACTTTGGTAGTGTCGACACCTCCTCTTTAAATCGTTCTGGAGCACTTCTTTCTGGATATCCCATATACAGCATGTGGGTGTTAAAAAATCCCATGCTATAATAGTTGGTATCAAGTTTGGTGTGTCGTACAAGGGCAGGTCCAACGTGTTCCTAGGTGTGCTATAAATATTCGATATGGTAAAAACAACAACGCACCCACTTAATCTACCCTCAGGGTCAGAGCGCCTGTTTCATTAAGATTATTGCACTCTACAGCGGTGTGAGGGTTTATTTCACAATAGTTACCAGCCTGCAAAGCTTCCCGCAAGTGTTGCGGTAGACTGAGAAGACCGATATGTGCGATGGTTGTCTCTTCAGTAGGTCTATTGCAGTAGTCTAACGTCTACCCCTCAGGCATGAAGCAACTTGATGAGTTCTTGTATTTTTCCCCCTCTGACTTCAAAATAAATAAGCTGTATAACCACTAGGATTTTGGGAGGTGAACCGCGGCACGAAGCAGCGTACCTTGAGTAGCACATGCACCTGTAGTAGACCTGAACCCGTTAACGATCTGCAAGGAAATAGGGGTTCAACCCTCCCCCCTCTCTCTTAGACGGTCATTATTTGTATTTACAATGCTAGAATAAGGACGAGACTATAATAAAATTTACACACTCCCAGAGAGAGAGAGAGAGAGAGAGAGAGAGAGAGAGAGAGAGAGGGAGGCTGAAGGAACTCTCACCTTTGTCTAGGGCAGTGGTCTTCAAATCGTGGCTCTTAACGACCTGAGTGCTCCTCAGCCAGCCGGCCAAATATCGATTTTGATTCTGAAAAACTAGGGTCTTGACAGGCTCTTAATTTTTTTTCCCGCCCTGTTGCAGACTTTTTTGCTCTTTTGGTTGATGAGTTAGCCGACCACTGGTCTAGGGAGTCGCACGTATTGTGTGAGAATCCTGTTAGCTATACAGTGCGCACGTATTGTGTGAGAATCCTGTTAGCTATACAGTGCGCACGTATTGTGTGAGAATCCTGTTAGCTATTCAGTGCGCACGTATTGTGTGAGAATCCTGTTAGCTATACAGTGCGCACGTATTGTGTGAGAATCCTGTTAGCTATACAGTGCACACGTATTGTGTGAGACTCCTGTTAGCTATACAGTGCGCACCTACTTGCCCAGTTCCTAGTCCACCAGAAGCCAAGAAGACACCAGGATCTCTTGTTGCTGAGCGGCACGGCGAGCACTGAAGTTGAAGAAACTGACGGTATAATAAATCCATCAGACCGGCAACGTTGCAACAAATGAGGGTCGATAAAATGTGAAATGAGTAAAGCTTAAAATACTGACCTGGAATTTTGAAACCATGGTCCTTTTTGAAATGTCCTTGGCATTCGTCTTGGCGAAATTGTTTGCGCCACGGCTACAAGCATCTAAATGTATTTTCCTTTTTTTTTTTTTTTCCCCGCCACAATATTTGTGAAGAAAAGAATTATTATGATTTTTTTTTTTGGTTTTTTTTTTTTTTTTTTTTTTTTTTTTTTTTTGGTCTCTATATATTTCTCAATTTGTAATGAGTGAATAGAGATTACATTGAACACTTAAAGAAGTATCCATAAAAACGTATATAATACAGTCTTCACCGCACAGTTTTATCTTATCGAATTGTCAGTTACATCGTTTGTTCAAAAATAAATTTAGCAGAGCTTTAATTATTCTTTCAGTTTAAAAATGTAAAAATTCGCTGAAAGTTTTACTGGCTGCTTGGTTGGTTGGTCAAATCGGTCACAAAAATCAAGTGCTTCGTCACATTTGTCGTTCTGCGTTTCATCCCCAACAAAACCCATATATATTTTTTTTTTCCCTGCCGTATCAATTTTTTTACCTACAAGTATTCGACAGCCGAATCGGAAGGGTGATTTTGAAATTCTTCTGATAGTGAAAAGATCTGCGTTCATCTTCCGCTTTCTGGTGAGTCGCCCCTGCAAAATCTGGCTACGTGACCCAATTTGATAAGGTTGCATAATTTTTGTAACAGCATTGAGGAAAGCGTAGGCACCAATGTTCCTTGCAAGATTAGCGACGTGTGCGCGCTCACACGTGACTTCAGATAGATTGATCAAATACACCAAACGCTCATTGGAGCTTCATTGTTTAATACTTTTCAATCAT